CCTAGGGGAGGAGGGTGCAGGGATGCGTGCGGGCCTCACGGTGCGCCTCTGCTGTGGTGCTGACATCTCCTTCTGCCCCCAGATCACACGGATGGAGTACGTCCACACCAAAAGCCTGATCTACAGAGACGTCAAGCCAGAGAACTTCCTGGTGGGGCGGCCGGGCAGCAAGCGGCAGCACACCATCCACATCATAGATTTTGGCCTGGCCAAAGAGTATATTGACCCCGAGACCAAAAAACACATCCCTTACCGAGAGCACAAGAGCCTGACAGGGACAGCACGCTACATGAGCATCAACACCCACCTCGGGAAAGGTGTGTGAGCACCGTGTGGCCAGCCCTGCCTCTGCGGGGACTGGAGGGTGCAAGCTCCCCCCTGCCAGAGGTGGGCTGGGGTCAAGCTGCCTCTCCTGCTCTTCAGCCTGGGACGTTGGCAGGGGACTTGGGGTGCTGCAGGGTCTGGCAGGGACAGGGAAGGCGGCTGTAGTGGAAACGTGCCCGTGTCTCTTTTTTTCTCCATGCAGAACAAAGCCGCAGGGATGACCTGGAAGCATTAGGGCACATGTTTATGTACTTCCTCCGCGGGAGCCTCCCTTGGCAAGGCCTCAAGGTAACTGCCAGCTCCCATTGTCCCTGGGCACGGCTACGCTTGGGGTCTGGCTCTGCCCTGGCCTGGGCAGCATCAGGGTGTGGGGAGGGCAAAGCTTTGGCCCGCGGGGTGCTGGGGGGTCGGCTCCCCGCCCAATGCAGGGGCTGTTGCTCTGAGCTCTGTGCCAGGCCTGTGCTGTGCTGCGCGGCTGTAGGTGTCCCCCTCTCTGCGTCCCTCCCGCTTTGCGGGTATCCCAGCTGCTCTCACAGCGGCTGTCCTGGCGCCGCGCTCCCCAGTGTTTGTCTTCCAGACCTGCCCTGGGCGAGGGGATTCCCTGAGAATGAGCTCTCGCTGTTACCTGGAAAAGGGGGACCAAGAAACTGTTTGTGGTCTGATGGCACCCAGTGCCTTCCCCGCTCCCGGGGACGTGCCTGGCCCTCGTGCTGACCTTCTCCTTCTCTCTGCCAGGCTGACACGCTAAAGGAGAGGTATCAGAAGATCGGCGACACCAAAAGAGCCACTCCAGTAGAGGTGCTCTGTGAGAACTTCCCAGGTGAGGGCACTCTGCATGGCCTGGCCCTGGCCCCAGAGCCCACTGGCCTGGCATCCTGTCCCCCTGCCCCAACTGAGCCCGCTCTGTCCCCGCAGAGGAGATGGCCACGTACTTGCGCTACGTGCGGCGGCTGGATTTCTTTGAGAAGCCTGACTACGACTACCTGCGGAAGCTCTTCACAGACTTGTTTGAGAGGAACGGTTACGTGTTCGACTACGAATACGACTGGGCAGGGAAGCCGCTGGTAAGTGGTGAGGGAGCAGGAGCGGGCAGAGGGTGCTGGGCCCCAGGGTGCCCGGGGGCGGAGGGCAGCGTGGTGGGGAGTCAGCGTGGTCTGTGGCAGCAGCCAGGGAGGATGCAGGTCAGCAGTTGTCCCTGCCACGCATGTCCGTGCCCGAGAGATCAGCTCCACCAGTCCTCACCCGACCCCAGCAGCCAGCTCCAAGCTGGGGCTGTCGTGCCAATGAGTTAAAGCTGTGATGCTGAAATTTGAGGTTCATGGAGTTAAGGGCAACCCAGCAGTCGAGCTAGCACCTCGCTTTCTGCCATGGGCACCCTCCATGGGCTCGCTGCAGCCTAACACCAAGCATGGAGCTGCTGGAGCGGGGGTAGGGGCTGGATGTGACCCCAATTCTGGGGTGTTTTGCATGTTTGGCCAGAGGGTGGATCGGGGGGCGCGGGGTGGGCTGCGGTGCCGCGGCTGATGTTGTCCTTGTTGTGTCCCCAGCCCACCCCCATCGGCACGATGCACAGCGAGGTGCAGGTGCAGCCCCCGAACAGAGACAAAGCACAGCCACACACCAAACACCAGGTGAGTGGCGGCACTGCCCCGGCCGGGGCACAGGACCGCGGGCGTGCACAGCTCGGGCTTATGCTCCACAGACTCGCAGAGCCCAGCGGGGCCTCTGGATTGGAGGCAGGGGCATCCTTTTTTCCCCAGCGCTGTCTGCGGGAGGCCTTCCTCCCGCAGGGCTGGGTCTGTGGCTAGCAGGGGGACCAGGGCGGTGTCCCTGGGGCCAGGCGGCCTGGCAGAAGTGGGAGGAAGCAGCCGTGGGAGGCTGTAGCACGGCGGGGAAATGCCAGGCCTGGGCTTCAGCCGGCAAGCTGCAGGGTTTAGCGCTGGCCGGTGGGTGTGGGCACGGTGCAGGCTGAGCCACCTCGTGCTAAGGACAGCGTCCCCAGTGCCGCATCCCCGTGGGAGTAACTTGCCGCTCTGTTCGCGGTGCCACTTTCATCAATGGCACCGGGACACGGGAGAAGGGAGGGGACTGCCTGGGCCTCGGGGGGAATTCGTGGGGCAGCTTGGCGGCGTGTGGCCCGTGCTGGAGAGAGGGGCTGGCTTTGCCCTGGGAAGCGGCAGGGCACGTGGGGCCGAGCTGGGAGCA